GATCTTTCACGCGGACTTGGAGCTGCCGGTTCCACGGACTTTTTATTGCTGCATGCCAGCTCGAGATGACTCACAGTGTCCTCATCCTCTTCCGGCTTTGTGATACTCAGTGGAACCGCGAACCATTTGATCAGCTAAAAGATACAATTCGAACGAGAATACTATGAACAACAGATTTGAAGTGAGGCATATTAAGTACAAGTGGTCAGGTATCAAACAAGGCATATGGAAAACAGTACTGATTGATTCGATGAAATTAACAAAAGAAAAAGGTGTAACACAATATTCTGCTCCTACCGGAAACAAAATCACGACAGCCGTACGGTCTTATGGCCCAGTCAGTCTGCTGATCTTCAGCCGGGGTACCTGGCACAATATCACAATATCCAGCTCCATTTGTTCCATCTCCTCATTTTAATCAGTTCTGGCTTCTAACTAACTCCATTAGCACCAGAACGTCTGACGCGAAAGGGCAAATAAAGCCCAAATGACGTAAACGCCTCTGAAATCTGTCTCAATCGAGCAAACGATGATTTGAGTCACAAACAGCCCTAAAACTAGGTTCAATCTCTGTCCCCCTTAGACTTATCTTGTATGCGAGTTTGGCGGCGATTAGTGAAGTTAGCTACACTGTATTATGTCATACAATAATGTCGTGTAAATGAGGCTTGACTTGACAAGCTGGGAAGCATTACTGGACAGCTGTCGTGATGGTCATGCCCCCTTATGCCACTTGAGTGTGCTTGGCTATTTTTGAGACTGAATCACATGCAAAAATCGGCCTTGGTCGTTTTTGAAAGAACTTCAATGGGGCATCGCTCCTCGCCGAAGAAAGTACAAAATAAGCAGATTTATGTTCCAAAAAGGGCAGCGTTTTATTGACACCATCTACTTTCTCTCTCTCTTTACACATGAGAACAGTGAAGGAAAGTAGTGGAGGAATACAGTGCAAATGACTCAAGGAATGAAGATCTCGAGGCAAACTGCAATGAGCAGTAGTGATTGATTATCCTCTGTTTTAATCTCACCTCGTTCCCTTGGGGGTACATGTAATTCCATGTAGCTTCTCTAGCACAAATTCTCTTGTTTTTAAACTGTAGCTGCAGTATCCCTTTCAATAATTACACTTTCAGTTGTATAATCAGCTTTCATGAACGGAGACTGCGGCGGGCGGGGGGGGGGGGGGTTAAACTTTAACCGTCCTGGATACATAACGAAGAGGGAATATTGAAGGGGTATTGATACGATTTGAACTGACGAATTTCGAGTCAGCGTAACAGCAAATAAAATCTCATCCCCAAAGCGTATTGACTTCCTGGACAAAATCGCAACATCTTGGTCCGGGTTAGACTCCCCGCTCCGGATCATTTCTTTCCGGCCTCAACAAGACTACTGATAAGTATCAGCATTCCGGCTTCAAATTATTATAAGTGGATGGAAACTTTCACACCGTGATCATTTGTTGTACGAACCATAATCCCGGGCGGCTAGTGCTGAGTTGGGCGACGACGGATACTCGCAACAGGCTCGCATAAACCATTTGTGCTATATCGTGTAAAATCAAAATGAGAAACGGTCTGATCAGTTGCCCGGTGGCCGAATGGGTATGTAGCATGCTTGCATTCTGCCTGTGAGGTTTCGGGTTCGCGATCCCCAGTTGAGTCAATGGATTCGCGCACTGTTGCTGATGAGACCCAACCAGGTAGAAACAACTGTCCAGTACTTCCCTGCATTTCCGCTCACGCCTTATTTGCACGACGAATTCATCATATAAACAAATCAAATCCTCCACTACTCTCATATAACCAAAACATATTCAGTCAAACTATTTTATTCTATCACAATGTGTCATAGGTAACACGATGAAAATATCCAAGTGGTCCCATGACTGAAAACAAAAACGTTCCAACATGCTTCTAATCCGGTTTCGGATTGTTCTTACTTCGGATTAGTTTCATTTATGATGCAATACTGTCTTCCATGCCCGTAGATCCCTCTGAACCAAAAGACTCCACAGAGCTTCAGTCGGCCCAAACTACGTATTATGGGTATGAATATTCGGTTGCATAAATCACCTTTTAGTGAGGTGTCCCCCACAGTCTCCATCGATTTTCTGAAATCTCGGGGAGTAAGAACTCTTTCGAAGTTTTGTCGTAAGATTTAGATGTCTGATTTCCACGAAGAATTACCAACTGAAACATTACATCCAAAAATCTATCGAGTGGGATCTTGAAACTAGCCCCCACAGTAGGTGTGCTGTCTGACGGCTAAATTCTTCTTCTTCAGGTTGTATCATTGGTGCATTTTCAGTTTGCACAACCATTAGCCCTGTACGTTCGTGCGCCGGTATAGATTGCTTTCTTGTGGCTGCCCATTTGAATGAACAGTAGGAAAAAGACAGGAAAGTTGAGACTGGCTTCAACTTAGGTTGCAAAGAAATTGAAAAGATGCACGAAAGCATTCAGTCATATCATTCAGTATCTCCAACTATTGATTACAATGATCCCCAAGTCCCCATCCAGGGAGCCTAATGGGATCTATGTGATCAAGTCTCCTAATTAGAGATTTTATACCCTCGTGCCAGGTAATAGTTGGACCACACTTGGCTTTGTTCCACCCACTGACTGCCTCGGTAAGCTTTGTGCGCCGTAGCAACCTATCTGGTGACATGCGTAACACATGCCCCAACCGACGTAATCTATAGAGGTCGGTTACTTTCTCCAGTGGGAGTCTGCGGCTACCTAAAACTCTACGCCTAACCTCAGCATTGTTCGTCCGGCTGACAAAACACCAGATTCGTGTAATGTCACGCAGAAAGCGGTGTGCAAACACTGACAATTTATCTTTATCCCATTTTCTTAACAGTCAAATTTATGTGCGATATGGCATAACTAGTCGAACACCCGCAGTATACACCCTACCCTTTTTGAACAGCCGGATGTCGCGGCGGCGGCACAGATGCCTCAGGTTGGCAAATGCCAATCGAGCCTGCTGTTTGTGAGCTGACACTTCATCTGTGATGCAGCCACCGGGTGAGATATGGCTGCTTAAATAATAAAACTTATCCACTTACTCTATCACTTCCCCAGTTAGAGTGAGGCTGGGTGCTTGGTAGACCAACCCTGTCTTGTAGCAAAATTTTACACTTTGGAGGTTCAAAATGCATACCAAAAGGATGGTAACGGTGCCACTCAGGCTATTCGGAAAAGCTTATAACTTACTTAGATCCTCACTTAGCAGTAAAATGTCGTCCGCATACTCCAGATCAAACAGTTTATCCCTTGGGATCAAATCGATGCCACTACCCTCGCACGAGGATGGGGCTGTGCTATTAGTAATTGAGCCAATCAAGACCAGTGAGGTTAAATTTTTCCAATCGCGAAATATCACATGGTCACACTTAGAAATTCCGCTTATCAGACTCGTCACCCACTTTGTGTCGTAATCAACCTGACGCGGTCTGATCTTGATGATACTGATTCTATCCTACCGAGCTGTAAGTGTATTAATCGCTTTAACTTGTTGCTCATTTTGAGGTAGCACACGAGAGCTGTTTAGGGCCTCTGTTAGAAATCTCTGTTCGTCATCCACGTCTGCTCATCGAATTACTATGGTGTAATTTGAGCAAACAGTTGCAAAAATTAGGGGTGTTTAATGAATTGTTCCAGCAAACTTGCAAGGCAAATATTTTCCTCTTTTTAGCTCCAACAGCCTTGAATCGCCAGTCATTTTCTTGTTTCGACATAGGTCAGGTCCATATTCTGAAGCACGATGCATGTCCTTGGAGTTGGTCTTCCATCTGTAGTATATGGCGTGAATGTTGTTCACTATTGTGTAACTGAACATCATCTAAATTATCTGAGATATGACTAACCCAAAAGCATAGGTGACGGACTGCGGAGTACATTTTGATGGCAACGATTGGGGGTGGGATAGATACCGGTTCGCACCGCATAGGCACATTTTACAAAGTTACAACTAACATGTGTTTTTGATTTAACTATACGCTAATAAGTTGTCGCATTGTTGTACCAAAATTAACCAATCTAGGTGATTTTGTTACCGTAAAATCTTATAAAAATGGTGAGGTTTATAGCATTTCGCATCAAACATCAGCCTCGTGTCTGGGGTGAATTCGTACAGTACAGTGCACCAATGGGATGTGACCAAAATTGGTTCCATTTACCTCTACTCGGTTTTCTACACAACAGCGTGTGGAAAGCTGTCTCAGTGGGCTGCTGATCGGCAGGATGAATATCGGCATTCAGTTTACGAGCACAGTGATGATCAAGTTTGCACGGCAATACTGCCAGGAATCTTCTCACGAGTGATTAAATGCATGTTCTTTATTATCTTCGAATTTGACTTACAGTTACTTGCCATTAGTGTGTGTGTGGGGGGTGGGGTGGTAATTGATATTGATTTGTTTGACTAACAATCAATATCAATTATCCCACACACACTACTCACAAGTAACTAAGAGTCAAATGCGAAGATCAATCAAGCCTGGTAGGTATGTGACAAGTCAGCACGTGCATGGAAGTCATGAACTGGTGGGACGCTTTCGATTGAAGTTAATAGGTTGTCATCTGTGTCTCCCTTCGTTGCTGTCGGGCCAAATGAACTGACTAATTATCACTGAAAACGACACCTGAACAATCATGAATTGGCAATTTGGTTCAGCCATGGTATGAGCTTTTTGGCGCAGTGGCAACGCACACGCCTTCCATGCAATGGGTCCGGAGTCTAAAGCCCAGACGGGACGGTGGATATGCACTACCGATGAGCTCTAATAAGAGCAAAACTCGAGTGTATGGTTGAACCGATACTATGAGGATTGTGCGTGAAGGTGGAGTCCGATGGATAGTCAGTTAAATCAATCAATATCGTCTTGATTACGTTAGGCTCTTCTTGAATTTGGGCGTTAAGTTAAGTAACCTTTGATTAGGTCAAGGTGCAAAAANNNNACCAACCGAGATGACCGGTTGATAATCAACTGACGTGGACTTCGATCACCGGATCTTCTCTGCAACAACCGTCACGTCGTATGAAACACGATCACTGTGCTCGAGATGGCCACACCACCCATCCCAATTATCCGGGGATAAACGAACCTCGAAATCCACGATCAATATTTTTAAAACATTTCGCACAAAACTACACTGAATTTCTTCGCGCACTTACCCTAGCCAGATACGGTGGTACGGGGCCGCTTTTGTGACCGTACGAGTGAATATTGATGACCACAGTGGAGACAAAGGTGGAAAAACTCAACAGGGTCAAATTGAGACAGTAGAAGTAACCTGCAAGGCAAAAACGAAGTCATATCAGAAGAATGTCAAAGTTAGAAAGTTTAGATCAAGAAATATACATCCAGATTTTGGATAAAACAGAACCTAGAAATTATCTATCTTTTTGTTGATTTGATTTGATCGATTCAACCATACACTCGGTGTGTACGGTTGAATCGATGAACTAAGGATTGTGCGTGAAGGTGAAGTCCGAGGGATGGTCAGCTCAAATCAATAAAATCCATTATCCCATAACCACTAGTCATAATTAACTGGGAGTCAAATATGAACATATCTATCTGTTTGTTTATCGCTTGAGAAAATCGCAGTAAGGTCTTTCTGCCCATAGAACTCTCCATGACTCAGAAACAAGTGTTTATTTCGCTCCAATCAAGTGGCACACACTTACGGGAACTTTGCGGGTTGGAATTTTCGTTTAATTTTGTACGCAAACGTAGGCTCCGCTGCGCCGAGATATACTAAATGTGTTTTTTCTCTGTTTGCGTTAGCTTCGCATACACCCGAATTCTGAACGTTATACGAGCTTAACACAAACGTAACTGACAAGAGTCAATAATGCGATTACTTACCAAGAAAAGGTATAGTTATGGAAGCAGACGGTGTGGATTTTGCCAGGAGTTTCAGCAACAGCGAGAATGCGACGAAGATGTTCATGTCTTTGAATCAACAATAAACGGGGGATGGGGCGGGGGAGATTAGAATCTGGATGAATGAATAGGTGTTTGTAGTTCGGTCTATGTGTGGTGAACTATCATCATTTTAAGGAAAGATATCGACCACGGAGCTATGAGATTATCAATGGGATCAATAAAAGTGAGATCGGAAATACCATATCAGATGTACAAAACTGGGTTCGAATATCGCTGATACTCATGCGTGTTTCGCATTCATTCTACAGTGGAGAAAAGTACCAAATATATCACTGAAAGAGGACACAATCAGTTGAGAACTTTGAAAACAGCATTTGTATCAATCCAATCATATATAAATCCGATAAATAATTGGATTTGTGATTTTGTCTAACTTTCGTACCAGGTAAGTGTTTTATAAACATTGTTGTTGTTGTTGTTGCATACAGTACAGCATAAAGCCCGGCTGTAACCTACAACAAGATAAACTAAACCGTGACATTTTCGCCGCAATCAGAATGCCTGCACAGAGGCAGAACAAAATAACCTTCAGGTGGATGTTGGAATTGCACGAAGCCACTGCATTAAAAAAATTAAAAAGAAATGCATTTTTTACATATCTAGCACCGAACTTGTCTCTGACTAGCCAGCAAAGCCCTAAAGTGGTATCCGGTAGCCTGTGTTGAAGGGAAAACAAAAGAGTGAAACAAAAATCGTTTTTCCAGAAAATTAATGTCATAAATTCATCATAGAACCAAGCATAAAAGACAGATTATATAAACAAGGACATTAAGATATGAATTGAAAGTCCCTCTACCTGTCCACAGCATTCAGAGTAAACAGTCATGAAAATGATGTGGAGACGGTTTCGATCCTACATCAGTTTCAGTGTCAGGTTGTTCAACCATTTGGATGAATATTAGAAGAAAGACAGGAAAGATTGGAAGAAGAATCAAAGAGAAAATTTAGAATTCCAGTGGGCTAGCGTTGGGTGTCGGGTGCTATCACCCCGAGGTCCCAGCCCGGGGAGCCTAACGGGACGTTTGTGACCCAGACTCCTGGTTAGGGTTTTCATACCTACATGCCAGGTCTTAGCTCGGCCACCCTTGGCTTCCTTCCACGCACTAACTACCTGGGCGAACATCGCTCGCCGCGGCACCCTATTTCGTAACATGCATACCACATGTCCTAACCAACGTAACCTATGAAGGTCAAAGATTTGCTCCAGGGGGTGACGGCATTTACCTAAAACTATGAGCCTAACCTCAGTGTTGCTCGTCCGGCTGCCCCACCAGATTCGTGCAATGACGCGTAGACAGCGGTGTGTAAACACCGACAGTCTATCTTTATCCCCTTTTCTAAATGGCCAAGTTTCTGCTCCATTTAGAAGAACTGGCCGAATTGCCGCAGCACACACTCAACTCTTCACAGACAGCCGGATGTCGCGACGGCGCCACAGATGTCCAAGTTGGAAAGTGCCAACCGAGCCTTCTGTATGCGAGCTGACACTTCGTCCATGATGTGTCCACCGGGTGAAATGTAGCTGCGCAAATAAAAAACCTTATCCACTTGCTCTATTACTTCCCCAGTTAGAGTGAGATTAGGTGCTGGACCAACCCAATCTTGTAGCAACGTTTTACACCTTGAAGGTGCAAAACGCATACCGAACATGGCTACACTGTCACTCAAGCTCTCCAGAAAAGCTTCCAACTTACCTGGACCTTCACTTAGCGGCAAAACGTCGTCTGCATACTCAAGATTAGACAGTCTGCCACCTGAGAGTAAATTGATGTCACTATCCTCGTACGGGGATAGGGCTGTTTCAAGAATTGAATCTATCACGAAGTTAAACAGAAAAGGGGAGAGAGGGCAACCCTGACGAACACCACTTTCCGTGGCGAACTCGGGTGAAAATATGCCTTAAGCTCGGACTCGGCTTAGGCATTACTATAAAGAGATGCATCTGTGTTACACGGTGTAGCTCCCAGTTTCCTTCCGAACCATTTATCTTTACGTAGACTAGAGGTAGATTGCCCACAGATGCAATTTCGTGTTGTACATAGAAATTGACTTGATTCTGTGAGGTGAGCTATGCGAGTCAAACTGTCGGATATCTATCTGACTGTGTCCAACAGTATCATCCAAGATGACTGAATAACAAGCTAACAAGTACCGGAATCATGGAGAGTACCATTCACTTGACTGAGTCTGTCCCCCTTCCCTCTCAATGTGCGCCGAGCTTTTCATCCTCTCTGCGCGCTTAAGTGATGATGATTGAAGACAGTGGTGTGCCTAATTTTATCGACTGTCCACGTAACCAAGGCCATTCATTCACAACCCTGTCTACTCATTCACTCATACACACACGCTCACTCATCACTGATCTCAGTTACGTCATGTGAATACAATAGTTTCGACTTTGAATGTTGCTATCATGTTGTGTGGTGTGTTTCGAACGTCGATGAAATCAATCTGTGTTCCTGTGTTCAATTGAGCCAGATGTTCCACACAATGTAGCGGGGTCATTTAGGACCGTGTAATGAGAGCGCAAAGATCAGAGGTAGGACAAACTTACTTAGCAACATTTTTGCCGGCACATGTGGTGGTAGCCAAAATGTCACGGTTGTGAGCAGACTGAGCAATACACAGGGAAACACCAACAAGTAGGCGAAGAATGCCGGGTTGCGTTTGAGACTGTCAAGAGATCAATACGGAATGGATATGAATGTTGGTGGTCAGATGGAAGTCAAATGTGCAAAACAAAACTTTTTTTGAACAGCAAACACCGGGACTACATCTGCGTGAATCGCACTGTATCAGAAAACGAAATACCTTCCTTACGGATCGTGAGCAGTTTGAAACTAGAGAGAAAGAGAGAGACAGACAGAATAAATATCTATTTGGGAGGTTGCGCGGGACAGGTCTCCATCACGTCAGCTGCCAGGTGCTGTGTTCGAATCCCATTACCCTGACGAGCCTCTAACTGTTCCATATGCGATTAGTACCGCTCAGTAGTATGATGATCTTTTCAACAGAACAAGGGAAAAGATTACGTTAATTCGTTCGTGATATTTTATCGCATGCATTATGGACGAGTGCAACTCTTGCGACTAGTTTGATAAGTTCATATATGCCATGATCATCACGTGACCAGAAAATCACCGATACATCGAATACATTGATTGGTTAATTACGACTAACCATCCTTCAGACTTCACCTTCATGAACACAGTCCTCAACTGCTTCATTCAACTATACATTCGGAAGCACTTAACCCGAGTTTTGCTCTTATTAGAGCTCATCAGTAATGCATATCCTTCGTCCCACTATCCGTGATTTGAACTGCGCACTAATTGCATGAAATGTATTTGTTACCACTGTACCAATCAGCTTATGCCAGGGCTGAACTGAATCGCCAATTCATGTTTGTTTAGATGTCGTTTTCAGAGATAGACAGTCAGTTTATTTTTTGACCAAATGGCAACGCAGAGAATTTACGTGAATATGAAGTCTGAATGGCGGTCATTTCGAATCCATCAATACCAATTAGCCCACACCACTTATCACAAGCAGCTTTGAGGTAAATGTGAATTACATCGAATAAAGTTGATTGTTTTGGATGAAATGCGTGATCTTCAATTACAAATCGCTCGTTCTGTTTGGCCCAGGGCAGTGAATCTTTAGCCTCCCGTTCTAAATTTTGTGAGTTCAAATTCCATTACCTCTGTTGCCCGTATTTCCCATCCCTTGTTTAAATGACTTTGTACGGCTGCTGCTGTTTTTTGAATTATTCGTTAAACTTTTGTTTTCATATCGAGATTGTGAAACGTTTCTCTGGCCTCGGTGGGACTTGAACCCATGCATGGAGCCGCCTACGCTTTTGTACAGCACACGCTCTACCAGCTGAGCGACGAGGCCACACTAATAGCATACTGGTTTTTCGCATTCAAATCACCCATCCAACTTACGGAGGCATATGTTATCCAACAGTTCGCATGTAAGTTGACTCCGGTGAATTCTAAGGAAATCCTGTCGTGGCAGTCAGCTTGCATGCTAACTGGTGGGTGCCACATGCCTCTGTATGTTGGATGGGTGATTTGAGTGTGAAAAGATCAGTGCTGTCGGTACAACCTTGTAGCTCAACTGGTGTGGCACGCGCTGTACAAAAAGGCGTAGTCAGCGTCCATGGGTGGGTTCAAATCCCACCGAGGCTACAGAATGTTTCACAACCTCAACATAACAAAACTTCAACCTGCTGAACAATAGTTGGAACGTTAAATTGTTGTTGCTAATGTGGCATACGAAAATCACGTTACTTTCGATGTTGCCATTTCGTATGACCGGAGGGTGTCTTAACGTGAGCATCAGTAAACAATGGCGGTATTCGCGCATTATGCGCAATAGGTCCTTTTTACTAGAGCTCGGGTTATAAAATATCACTCGTTCACGGTTGTGTGATGAAACTTTTACAGACCTCATTTATGCACGATTAGGTCACACTAACAAAATGAAATTTGTGTCATTTGCTTCAGGCTTTGATTTGTTTAAGTTTACTAGCCACTACAAGCATATTCGGGTGAGCTAGGACGAGTTTAAACTGAACTTTCAGATTTGCAGTAGATGCCTGAAAATCTCTCCCCGGGCATTGGTTTTCGATTTCATGGGAGATGACTGGACAACGGATTCAAAATAATCTGACCATCTACAGCCAGTTCACCGATCTCTATCGAATACAAAACGTGAGCAACTCACAATAAAAAGAACGTGAGATCCGGAATCGATTTTCCACATTCCTCAGACATCATGACAAAACGACGCGCTGGTCGGGCTACAATTGTCCACTCATTGCTCGACGTATATTGATCCACGTCAACCTCGGTCAAATTGTCCAGGAATTGCAAATCCAACTCCGCGCTGTTCTGTGTCCATGAGGCAAATTTGAGGAAGCAATATTGATAATCGAACGGAAAATTGCGTATATCAATGCGACAGTTTGATTTGAAGATCGCTGGCGGACTCCAGAACACACGACCCAAATAGTCCACATTGAGCATGACGTCACGTCGCTCTTTCAAACGTTCATCAGCACTGGAGAGATAAGGTATCACTTGTTAGTTACGAAATTTATGAAATAAAATTGTATCCAAGAAGTAAAAAAGGCAAAAAAAACAAATTTTCCTAATAAAATGAATGTTTTTCTTTGTTGGTCACCCAACTTGCTTCAACTGAGTGCTTTCTGATTTGAAGCATAATGAAACAAGCGATGTTCTAGATCGATGTTTATCAATCGTAAAATCTGACTACTCTTTTAAGAAATAAGTAGTCAGATTTCTTGACTGGTTTCAACCAAGTTACTGCAATAACTACTACTAATAGTAATATCACTATTATTGTTATCATTACTACTACTGAGAATAAAAGTCTTTTTGGTTCAATTTATTGATAAAGTACAAAAATCACTTTCAGATGGGCTGTGGCTTATACTAAAACTGAGCATGGAAGTGCCCGATACCATTTGTAACGACCAGATTCTTCCTCATTTCAATCTTATTTCCCAAGAACTAGATTTTCAATATGGCAGGAGGGGGTATACTATTCAATCGTATCAGCCTCAATAAAATTTCCTACCAAGTTTTTACCGTTCATAAATATGCGTGCTTTGAATGAATCGGTAGAGCAACCAATTGAAGGAACAGGGTTGTATCGTTGCGCTGGACTTTTTCGGTAACTTAATTTCGATAGCTGTCCGCACGATATGGGCAGAGCACGGTTATCGGCAGCAGAACGAAGTCCAATAAATTAGTAGGGTTTATCGACGATGGTATGAATCATGGTTCCAAAATCATACAGTAATAATAAAATAGAAAAAGTAACTTACAGCAACCAAAATACAGGGCAGCAGTATCAGTCCGTAACAGCAATGGTAGGAACAAGTTTACCCTGCAGACAGCTAAGCGTAACAGTAGCGCAGCAGTGAAATTCAAATTGAACTTTGCGGTACGGTATGGAAAAGGCTTATAATACACTTTAGTTCCGGAATCCAACGATAGAGAAGGAAAGTACAATGGATTTAGATGGAGTGTAGTAAATACCAACAATTCCTAACGCGATACCAAAAGGCGGTGTTCATTGCAAGTATGTGTACCAGAGGGGCAGCATTGAGATGAGAAATAAACAAGCTCGTGCCAGGTATGTGTGGTGTAGGGATAGCGTGGGTGCCAGCCATGGGGTGATCTACGGTTCGAACCCTGCTGGCGGCAGCAGCAGCATTAGGAGTTCGGTAAATACACTATCAGAATATATAAATTTCACGACTATAGACGCCATGGGATACATAAAAAAACGAAAGTCTGACTGTTGGGAAAATAAACGCTAAATGCTACTCATGATTAGTCTAATGGAAACAGGGAAGAAATATCTAATTACGAATAGCAATTAACAATCGTGCTTTATGCAAGATGAAGTAAAAATCGTCAAAGATGAAATAGTGCTCAAACGCAAATTGTTGTTCTCAAATGTTCATTCACAATTTCAGAGAACATTGTTATCTGGTTAGATGGCTTGTTCTAAAATGGACGATTAAGAAAACTCCGTTTTGGGTTTCTTTAGCACAAACGCAGCAAGTTATTATTTAAAATTTACCGTCCATTGAAGCCACCGAGATTGATTGTTATTTGCCCGTTAAACTACGGTCCGCGATCTCAAAAATGACTTGCGAAGCTTTTTTAACAATATCGCCTATTACCGAGATCATTACCAGGTCAACATTTGTTCAGAAATTTAGATTTAGATTTAGATTTCTGCACTACCCGTGGGTTCTACAGGGTGAACATGAAAATCATTATTGAACGCGTAAAAGCTGTATTATGAGGCAAGCAAAAAATCTGTAACTGTGCTCCCTCACCAAATCCCAGAACCATTGATCCGCCCTGCCTAGGCTGAGGTATAGATTTTAGACAATGTCTCGAATTACCCACTTTCTAAACTTGTAACTGCTCCCCTTAAGTTATCCGTGGAGTGCTTTTTCACCGTGAGATTTAATCCTTTTGATGTGTTGTGTTTGGTAAACAGAGCAGTGTGATGTACTTAGGTGGTTGACAATCGTCACGTGACAGATGGTGTAACCAGCTTGGTGGGAACCATTCGCGGTACATATGATCCCAGGTTCAAATCGTTTCCGATGACAAAGAACGCTGGACACTTGTTTCGTCACGTTTTTGGACTCATCTGTAGTGCTTACTGTCTTGCGTACACTTAGGGGACTCAACTTACGAACCTTTGGGTTGGAAGTACAATCACCGCAAGGACAAAAGGAAGTAATTTTACTGAACAGTCAGAAAAAGCGGAAAAAACAGCACCCCAATGCTCTTTTCCAACCGCCACGGGCTCCTGTTACTAGCCTCCAAAAGCGTTAGTATGGTCGGTGGTGGGTGTCTGGGGTTACCACTGGTCACCCTAACCTTACACCTCGTCAAATGCTCCTATACGACCAAGCGTCTCAAATAGCCTCTGCTGAGGAAGCCCTACTCACTGCCTCCTCGTGGCGAAGGTGTTTACCAAGCAAAGAAATAGTCAAGTCAAGTCAAGTAATGACTTTATACACCCCGAGGGGTGGATATTCAGCAAACACATAATCATAGTGTGTCAACAAAAAGTGGAAAAAACAACAACCGCAGTATAATACAGCAATTAAAGGACGTAAAGAAAGACAGCAACATGAAAATCAATGGCATATCCGGGTGTATAAGATAGATGTAGTTTAACATTTGGCGCAGATTTCCTGCAACAAGTTCATGGTTTGTTAGAAATCTGGCGAGATAAGGGACAATAGACCGCCTGTAAGCTTCAGTGCGTGTCTTTAAAAGTTTCTGAGTGAAACGGGTGGATGATTGAGAAAGGCATCAACTAAGGGCGGAATAAAGAGGATGGGAAATATCAGATAAAATCTTGTTGGAGAATGTTTTACAGGACTTGAAGTGATGTGTACCCACATACTGTACTAGATGTTCCCGTGGTATGAGACTACAAACTGACAGAAATTTGAGGGATCGGGAAATGAGTTTGAGGTCCTTGTTCAAAGGATCAGGGAAGATAACAAGGGACCCATAAAGCCAGTGAGGCAAAATGCACGCAAAACAAAACGCCTTATGAGATGGTTTGGAATGGAAAGTGATTTAAGACGGAAAACATAAAACGTGAGTTTCCTGACCTTCAGGAAAACGTCATTGACGTGGTCAGACCAGGTAAGGTTACGGTTGAAAATAACGCCCAGGTATTTGACAGACGGTTGTCGTTCCATCTCGTCACTCAGAATAGATAAAGGCGGGCTGGAGTTTGATAATTCATCATACTTTTGCCTTTTCAAAAAAGAATAAATTACGTCGTTACATTTTTTGTGGTTCATGCGGGGGTTCCTTTGTTGTGACCACTCAACTAGTTCAGACATGTCTTCCTGTAGAGTCGTTTGAAATGATGAGTTGGGGTAGGGCAGTCCGAATGTTATATCGTCTGCATACTTGACGAGAAGGGAAAAATTGCTCACAGGCATAGAGGAAATGTAAGCAGAAAATAGAAAAGGAGATAAAATAGCGCCTTGCAGTACGCCTTTTGAGGAGGGCAGCAGTGAAGATGTATGACCTTTGTAGTGTGAACTGCTGACGGTTGGAGAAATAGTTGGCCAAGAGTTCAATCGTAGAAGGTTCAACTCCGCCCGAAGAGAGGATATTTAACAAAGTTTGTCGATCAATAGTGTTGAAAGCATTGCTGTAGTCAAGAAAACATATGCGTACGGCCTTGCTTTTCTTATCCAGGTTGGATAAAACAAAGTGGAACAGATAAGTAAGGGCATCCAGCGTACCACGGGAATGGGTGTATGCAAACTGGTTCGGGTCAACAACATTGAATTGTGCGGACAGGGTCTTGAGGAGGAGCCTCTCAAACACCTTCAAGACAACTGAGATGCAAGCAATGNCAATGGGACGGAATTTCGAGGATCCTTTCTTAGGTACAGGGGTGATAGAAACGATTTTCCAGCAGTCGGGTATACGTTCCTGCAAAATACAATCATTGAATAGATCACTCAGTACAGGGGAAAGGGAGACAGCACATTCTTTCAGGACAGCGGGTGTGACTCCGTCGGGGCCATAGGACTTGTGAGGCTTCAATTGAGCCAACTCTTGATAAATGTCGACAGGTGCGACGCTGGAGACGGGATCAGTGGTGTTTATTTCATATCCATTAGGTAGAGCCGTGAGAGCGGTTACACCCTTCATGAAACTCTGA